CTACAACGCAGTTGAGCACTACTTCAGTGACAATCAACACGATATCTTCCCACTAAGTAGACCTACATTCCTATCGTATTCCATTCATGATAAGCTCTTGTCATATTCCGCATCATCTGTGGTCATCCGATGTCCATAATTATGTTGCACTTATGCAGGTCATAAAGTCAGGAAAACAAACAGTTTACTATAATGCTGAGATATTTGCAAAACTCCGGACCACAGGTGTCTGCGGTGGAGAACGAACGCGCTATTGTCCTTTCCGGGGAGTAACGCGTTCACTACCACACCATGCAGGCCCTTCGTTTCGCCTGTCTCTCAGCTAGTTTTATCGATCTTTTGCCTTCAGCAATCACCCGTCAACGGGATTGATCTGGGGAGTCCAAATCGGCATTGAACCCAGTTAAGCTGAGGCTATAGTTATAATCAAACGAGTTGGTATGGTGGTGAACGCGTTACTTCCCGGAAAGGACAATAGTGTGTTCGTTCCCTAATGCAGACACGTGCGGTCCGGGGTTTTGCAAATATCTCAGCATTGTAGTAGTTATATTTCGCAAAAATACCCTGCCGTTAAAAAAATAGGCAGTAAGTAAAAGCGTTAAGATTGCTATTACAAATAGCTTAATTGATAAAGGTCATGCTTTGCACGGCAACAGATTATGTGTTCGCAACAACAAACAAACCGATTTCGTTTTTCGTTTGCGAAGAAACTTACAAGTTCTACTTGAGGTGTTGTCGGCTCCTTCTCTTCGTTTCTTTTGTTACCTAGTCTTTGGTGCCCATGAGTACAGTCAGTACACACGTGGGTGGGATCGGCACCTACACAGAGCGCTATCATTTCATAAAACTGTTCCTCACTTCCATACGCCACATACTAGAGGAGGTAAAAATTTAGCGCGTATTGTATCAAAAAGTTTACCCAGCGTCATTTATTCCATCCTCCTTTATATTAAAATACTTTCCAATTGTTGAGATTCATAGTTGTTTAAATCTATCTTTGAGCATTAATTCCACCTAATGCTATATCCAACTATTCCGTTTCATATTCACATCACCATACAAACTCTAATTCCACGAGCCATCGAAAAATAGAAGCAGGCACCACGGAGATCTCCATTTGACCTTATCCATCACAGCTACTCTATGCCCGCTCAAAGGACACCAATAGCAAAACACTTTTAGTGCGAAATTCCTTTCTTTTCTTCTACTACACTTTACAAGAACCTGATGTAAGCTGTATTACGCTCTGTACACCGCACTAATATCCTTTAGCCATAAAGAGCCGGGAAACTTTTGTGCCTTAGAGGGTAATAGAGATAAGCATTACCACAAGCGCGATGAATCTAAACTATATCACATGAGTGTTTTAGTTTTTAGAACCCATTGTCTTGTTAACCATCAGCTCTACATTTTCCTTTTACAAATGTCAACTGTACTATGTTAATGACCAATAATTTATATATAAAGGCTCAATCAGAAGCTATGAAGTAAGTCCAGACTAGGATGTTATAAAGAACAATCCTCGTCTCTACAGCTTTACAATATGCAGATCATTAACCATTCGCCTATTCACTTCATCATGTGTGTACTCAGAAAGTCAGTGCACTTATTGCATTTCCTGTCCGTTTGCTCGATTTGTTCTGGTCTTCGTATAAAGCCTTTTATCCGTAACAAAATCCTTCTGTATGCTTTGTCATTACCGTAACCAACTATGACCTGTCACTCGACTCATGTCATGCTGTAAGCATTGGGGTCAATTATCTTTCAGTATAGACGAGTGACCTATAAATGGCATATGAAGGACGCTGGACAAGGGGCAACCTATTGAGCAAGCAGAATTTCGACAACGATTTTGTCGCATGGACCATATCCAAACCGTTTTCGGAGTCACTGAAGTTTGTTGGGAATACCACTTCGCCTTACCCATAACTTTTTCGGCTATTAAAAAGCACTTGACAACCTCGACACGAATGCAATCCTGTCAGTACTCGTCGACAAAAGAGTGGATCCGCATAAGAACTCATTGTGACCGTTATCGGAACTCTAGCACGAAAATATAACTTTTCTATAGACCCCTTACACATGAAAAGTTTCGAAAAGGCGACACCATAACATCAAAGCTGCTTACTTCGGCATGGCAGTGGATAATGAAGTAACTCGATTGAGATGACAAAGACATACGTATTGATGGATTTTCCCCCCAAGTTCCCATAAAACCTTCGTTTGAGCGACGAGATCGTCATCTCCTCAAGAAGTACCAGCGAAGCAGAGACGATGACCAGTGAGTTCAACGAAGCGAAGAAAAAAAAGATCGGACCACATACAAATCGGAATAAGATCCAGTTCATGGAAAACCCATGGTGCAAAGACGAACAGATCAAACTGCATAGTTACAGAATACTGCGCACTACTCATCACCGAACGCTCTAATGAAGTCCTTTGAAATACAACCAGCACAATACAGCATATAGCCGGAATACTAAGCTCTGGTCTTCAAAGTCTATTTCATCTCCAAGACCCAGGAGAACAAACGCTGATAGAGAAACGGACCATTCGTATAATGAGAACGGGTCGACAGATGAACGAAAGGAACTGCATAGTGGATTCCATGAGGATACAGGCGTCCTGCAGGACTACCACCTACACCTTAGGTGAACCTATCGGTAACCAAAATCAATCTGTTCTGACAGCTGCAATTGTTCTGCAGATCACGGTACAGGACTTTTACCCACCACCAGGAACAACTGGGAGGCAGCGAAACAAATGCAGTGTGCTGGGGTCTGCACAACTTGTGAACACGTACCGTCCAAGTATACCAGTAATAGAAAGCATTAGAATCTAGAAAACTTTAATTACAGGATAACAGTTCTTTTGACTCATTAGCACGAAATTCTAATTTTCCCGAGCTCACAAGATATGTTTTTGCTCTTTTGTTCGTCGAAGCTCATAGTTTAAAATGCAATGGAATGAGTGGTATTTTGTCTACCAGAACCCAATAATGTCGCGAAATGTTCCTAACATCTATAGCTCTCGAGGTTTCATTCAGAATCCTAAAAATCTAAATTTTATTCTTATTTACTTTAATTTCCGTCTTTGAAGACGTCGAAAATCAAGCTACGCTTTTGGAGAACCACTCTTGCCCACAAACAGATAGAGCTTACGCAAGCCGATCACATTTCCAACTCCTCAAATATTTCGCTCATTGGAAAAAGAGCGATTTGCGATAGACTGGCTTCGAACTTTAGTGTTAGGGATGTGAACAAGAGAATTTTCTCTGTATGCCTCAAAAATGATGGAAGGCATATCGCATAAATTGTGAACACAAGTACGAAGAAATGAAATCATTAAGCATAATAGCTCAATGGGATGTAAGGCCGGAGAGACGAAAAGCAGAATGGCTTTATCGACTCGATAAAACATTTGTTCAGAAAGAAAATTTCCAAAATTTTACAGCTCGTTGAGTATTGATTGATCTAGCGCAGTGTATCGTAGATGGAAAACCAACTCCTGCTTTGAAAACAACCCAAAACTACGAGAAAATAATCAGACTATTCACGATTACTGAAGAGATGAGATTTTCTTTGTCACAAAAGACCTATACTGTCGTCACTTTGCTCCCTATTCGTTTTCCTTATTCTCATCTCCTCGAAAGGATTCTCCCTGATTATCATCTGTAGCACTCATTAGCATGCCTGTGTACTGATTTCAAAAAATAAATGAATAAAAAACGGAAAATACTGAAAAAGAGGAAATAAATACAAAACCACACTACAGCGTGAAACCAATTGGGACAACCAGCATCATCGTCTCCTCTTTCTGTCTTACATTTATTTCAAAGCCTCGAATATTTTACATTTACCACATATCCATAGGACCTATGCGCATTGATGTGAAAATTTAGAATTCTGTACAGCATGAACATTTCTGTTTCACGACAAGCAGGTTACTTCACCAAGCTATCCTTCCGAATCAGATTTTAGTTGATGACGTGCTATGCCACACTCCTTTCACGAATCGCTAAGCTGCCCAGCGCTAAAGGAAATTTTTGGATCACAGTTCCACCTAGATTGTACACAACTACTGATGATACGGAAAACTGCGGACGCATATCCGTATTATGTTGTTCTACACATGACAACTCGCTGGGTTTCTAGCAGCTACACGAACAAGGTCGCAGTTTATAAACTCTGACAGCAAACGGCAGTTCAATATGGGTTTGCGCAAAGGAATCAATAAACGGGTTTAACAGATCGAGGCTACACCAATTCTTGTTGATTTTAACCTCAACTCCCTTTTGAAATCTTGATTCTTATTTTTTCTTAAGTTCCACAATTTCTTCTATCAAGCTTTTTTACAAGTGAAATCAAATACTTTCAAAATGGTAACATTTCATCAACATGATACAGTACATATGGGAGTTGGAATCTTCTGGTATATTTACATTCTGCATGGGAACTGATGAGAAATGAAAACCAGACGATAATATTTCTGCTAATTTAGAATCGAGTTAATGAGGATTGCTGATTGTTAAAATCTCACTGGGTACGCAAACAATGAGTAGAGAAGAATAAGAAGATACAACGGAATGACAACAGGAACAACCAAAACGAGCACGTAATAGACAAGCAACTCGTCCATTGAAAAAGATGAAGAGAAAGAGGAGAAGGAAGAGGAGGAGCGACAAAAATCATCTACAACCATCAACTCTACGGAGATCTCCAGGAGTGACATAAACGGCGAAAAACAAAAATCGGCAGCGGGGCATTAAGGCGTCAGACTAGAAGTTCAGGATGATAGCAGCGACAGAAGGAAAAGGGCAGCAGGCATGCGATGAAATCTCGTCGAACGATGAATTAGGTAGAAAAGTTGATGTGTAGCTAAGGCAAACTCACATTTTGATGAAATATGCTACTTTTTCTATCGCGAAATACAACAAAGAGAATAAGTAATAACCACATATTTCCGCTGTTGCTAAAAAGAACTTGCTGAAGAAAGCTGCACTATATGACACTGGCTGGTAACAGGTCAAAGGTGTTCGTCGAGCGCTTGGAGGTTGCGCCAACCGTTGGCGCTGCTCGTCTTAGCACAACCTCGTCGCCGATACATGAATACTCTCGATTTGACAGCGATCCCTGAACAAACGAACTCACTAGTTTGTACGAAAAACAGAAGTATTCATTACCAGTTTTCATTCTCGATGAGAGTAATCTCTATGACTAATAATACTGACTTTTGCAAAACACTGAACCGCAGGTGTCTATGGTGGGGAACGAACGCGCTATTGTCCTTTCCGGGGAGTAACGCGTTCACCACCACACCATGCGGGTCCTTTGTTTCGCTTGTCTTTCAGCTATTTCTATCGATCTTTGCCACAGCAATCACCCCAATCAGCCACAGAACGCGTTACTCCCCGGAAAGGAAAATAGCGCGTTCGTTCTCCACCATAGACACCTGCGGTCCAGAGTTTTACAAATATCTCAGCAACGTTATGGTTGTATTTCGCTTAGTACCCTGCCGCGAAATTATAGCAGGCAGAAAATAAAAAGGTATAATACTGACTTTTCTCGTCAAACCCGGAAAATGAAAAGAAACTATAGTGCTGGAAAATTGTTTCTGAAGAGTTGATGAGGCGCTTTACGAGAATTGTATGAATGGGTTTTCAATAACTGGGTTGATATTTATTCATTGTGCCGTCAACGATGTAGAACCCATGATAGATACTTCTCTCTAAGTGAGTAAAATTGTAAGAAGAAACTCCTTACGAGCATACCTCGAGAAGCGGTGGAGAATGTGCAGAATTCCGGCTCGACGGTGATGGCATGCCGTAATTCGTATCAAGACCGGCGGTGAGCAACATGTCAGCACACTCTTTGAAACCGCTGTTTCGCGCATGCCATAGTCCTGATCTACCTCGTTCATCAACAGCACGGATATCGGCATTATTCTAAACGGGAAGAGAAACGATGAAATCAAAAAACGCACCGTTTTCCACGAATCAACCCAAAGCTATAGTTTACGAAGCTTCACTATCACTGAGAAGTTCGCATACTGTTTCGCAGGAATGGTATAGAATGCTACATAGAGCATCGAAGAGCGCTAATGAGGATAAATGATGAAGCGTTCGACGTTGACCAATCCTTATTGGATGCGCCATGCATTCATCTTCAACAAGCGTCGTACAGGTGATTGAATGCATGGCTGGCCTTTATAACGACTCACGATAGCATACCGATGTATCAAGTCGGTGTTTCATTCTGCCAGACAAATCTGGTATTAATATGGCGGTCACGAATGGATTAGAAGGGCTTGGTGAGTTCGAGGCGTAGGATCGAAAACAAGACCGATCCAGCGTGCACTACAGGGTATCTATAATCACAGTGCACAGGTGCCCCATGTACCGAGCAATGATAATAGATTATTTCGTGATTTCGATCTTCAAGATTTTATAGCAACGGAAGAGTGAAAAACAGTAAAGAAAAAGAGAATTACAGAAATTAGGTAGCTTGAACACAACCAAAAAGTAATTCTACCGCCAAAACGGACAATAAAAGTTTATTCAGTTTCGAAGCATGAAAGCGTTTGGGGCTGATCAATTTCTAAGGAATGCATCACGTATTCCACTCCAATGAGCATCATAGATGTTACTGAATGCATATCTAGCTTGCACATGACATTCTGAAGCCGACCTATCAACTCAACGCTCTTCTAATCATTCCAAACAAGTTTGGTACCCATTTACCAATCACAGATGGACCATGGGTCTGTTTTCTCTGGGGGAACGGAATTGAACCAAGGAAGACACATGTATGGCAACGCACTGCTGACCACCAGTACATCCATTTTTCAAAACATTTCACAAATAAATGGATATAAATAGCTACGAAATTATTGTACAAGCTTGCTAAACCATACCCATAGTAATAACTGCAGAATAGCGAGGCTACCAATGCTGCAAGCAAGATGGAGTGGAGAACGGCGGTCACGCGTGCCGGAAACGGTGCTGTTGACGTCCTCCGGGGAGGCGCGCGCCAGCAGAAGTGACACCTCGGCCACGTCACGAGCCAACACTGCGCTGACCAACTGCGAACTGACCGTCGCGTCCACGCGGAGCGACGGAAGGAACAGCTTCGCCTCGTATTTGTCACGAATCCACGACTCCTTCACATCACTGAAACATTGTTATTTCTTCGCTTTTTCTTCTTATACCTAGCATGATGTAACGGACAATTTTATTTTGGAAGAAACGTCCAAAAATTAGACAATCACATGCTCTAATGTTAAAAAAAGAGATATTGTAGGATTCTAGGAGAACTACACAACACCAAAGAAATTAACAGCAATAAACACACTAAGAACTTTAAGAAAAACCTACAGTGGACTGTCAGGGTGAGGACGTCGATCAACTGGAGCGTTATGCTCCCACAGCCGATTCGCCGCATCGTTGCCGATTGCTTGCATCACAGCCAGAAATTCCAAAGGCCATGCATCCAAGTCAAGAGAGCGAACGCTGCAAATAACACAGTTGAATAATATTGAATGCTGATGAAAACAATGAAGAAATATAGAAGAAGAGAAAAACCGAACGAAATTCTAACAGAATTTAAATCAAACACTCGAAAGAAGTCACAGACCGTGAAATATGCGATCCCAGATTTCTATGCGTCCCTGAACACTCAATACATATTAAGATGCCGAGGTTTAAACTAGCCCAGTCTGGTGATGTTTGGCCACAATCTGCACAACGATCGTTGCCCGGCAGTTGACGCAGTGCCAACACCTGCAAAACACATTATTTCCTCGTTCAACTATGAAAATATTGGTGCCACGTGATGTAAAAGACAACAGTATTACGTACAATAACTTTACTAAGATCAAAAATCAAATCTAACTATCAAGTAATGAGTTGAAAAAAAGTATCACGTCCTCACCTCTTCCCTATCACCTCGAGCTCTCGTACTCGGTTTACTCATCTGATTCTGCAGCGCTTTTTCGATTTGTTCTTCAATGGCTGCTACCCATGCATCACGTTCTTCAGCGGCCACACAAAACTCCCAACGTTTCTGATCAGAAGTGATTATCTGAAACCGAGATGCTTTCAAAGAATCCCACTAAAGAGACAACCTAAAGAAAGAGTTGATGTCTGAGTATAAACAATTAATTCGCGTTGCACTTAAATTTTTATTAAAACCCGTATCTTCCAGACATTGTGTTTAACTAGCTCAAGAAAAACCTAGAAAAACTGTCAACTTTATCGATTTATACATTCACAAAGAATTTCTACTGAGCTACACCTTCCAGAAATTTACCTCAAAGCACTCATCATCCTCATCGGTGGCTTTCCCTGCAGATCCAAGCCGACGATTTCCACCTCGCCTTTTTTTGTGGCCGACTACTGTTTGAGGAGTGAGCTGGACAACAGGTGATGCCTCCTTTGCATCGTCACTTCCGCCACCAGATGTGCCCTCGCCGGACCCACCGCCTATAAAAGAAAGGTTATTCCGGACGGAATGAACGTTGTTATCAAATTAAAACACAAGGCGAAAAAACCTCTACAAGCGGCCTCTACTCGTTATGAAACCTTCCACGTGAAGGTTCTATTCTAATTCCCGAATAAATAAATTTAGATGGTAAAGAAACACTGTGCGACAATCACAATCTTAAGAAAAACCATTCGGACGAAGGAAGAAGAAAGCTTTCACCTGCATCGCTTCTCCTCGTTTCATAAGGTCTCAGTACTACTGAGTTAATCGAATTCACTGTGCCAGTCTCTTCCGACTGACTGGTCGCCATACCACGCTGTGTATTACGAGGTCGTTGTCGACCAGCAATCCGAACAGTGGCCAAACCAAGAAATACCTTCAGAGACACAACTATTTTCGAAACAAAAATTCTTCCTCACTCATACAAAGATTCAAACCAATTTTTAACTGAACCATGACATGACCACCTTTCTATTCAGTCCAAGTACTAGTCAAATTCGTAATCATTGACCTAGACGTTTCTGCCCACCTCTTTTCCATGACTAGGCTTATCACGGTAGTCTTTCTGCGTATGATGATATGTTAATCGACCATCGCCATATAGACATACATACTTCTTTTTCCATTCGCTGTAAATCGTATTAAGTATACAAAACAACCAAATTCACTGCATACAATGGGAATATTCGTAGCAGAATGTTTTCTTTTCAAGACGGTTCCTTGTGACTATGTCAACAAATAGTGCAAAATTTCATCTCTAGAGAAGATACGTCAATGTACATAAGATTCCAGATATACTGTTTTAGTACAAAATTAGTAATGTTTATATTCAATCCAACTCATAAAACAACCAACACAAGCAACACATCTCGGCGAAATCAAATGCTGTCGAGGACTTTACTAATCGATCTTTTATTAAAAACCTTGTAAGCTCACTTTAAATTAGTTATGACTATTTGTTCGAAGTATTTGGACGTCAAGTAGTGCATTTAATTCATGATAAAACTTTCCAAATCCCGTTTTCAGTGAAAAAAACTGTTAGCGTGAGGATTTAAACTATTTTTCATCATCTTTATCATCAATGACACTAACTGACCGATTCAATGCCCCCTTGGTACTTCGCTTATGCATCGTGCCCTCCTTGATGGGAATCTCTCGACCACCACCGAGATTCAAATTCTGTGGCTTATTCTTATCTTCATTTTCTTTTGGTCGCTGCTGAAAGCAATTTTCTCACTGAAAAAACTCGATGAATAATGACAAAAAAAAGAAACAAAACGAAGGAAGATTATATGAGAACGTACAAAAATGTTTGATATTCTTCTGTTTTTTCGTTGCGTCGTTGGGGTAGACGATGGGGTTGGCAGATGTGAGGTGGAGGCACTACCCACCGAATGTGCGTCCAGACCAACTCCAAACCCAGCTAAATCACACCCTGGATCGAGCAGTGCAGCCGATGAACGAGTATGGACACCTATAACATACTGCTGGATTGAAACGAATGCTTTGTGCGCAGATTACATTAGAATGGAGTCTATACTTTACTATAGGTAGTTATGAGAGTTTTAACTGATGAATTTCATTTCTTTCTAGAGGTTTTCTGAACAAGAGAATAATACGCACAACACAATGGTAGTATCGTACGACAAATTAATTTATGTCAGTCCTTACTAATAAACACCTTGAGAGTCTCAAAAATCACTTGTTAACAATGGATACGGAGAAAAACAGTCTCTACCGGTTTGTAAGGAGGAAAATAAAAGATGAAGAAACGTTATATTACGATGGCTTTTCTGTAAAACACACAGCATTTACAATATTATATTTTAGTGCATATATGGCAAACAAGGCATTCGCCAGCCTGTTAGCAAAAAGCAATTAAGCATAAAAAATGACCAGAAAGAGCTTCAGCATGACCAAGTCTATGGATGCACATGTTTTCTCCACGCCTCATAGACATCCCTATTTTTAGCACTAAAATCTCACCATTAGTTATGCTTTTCTGACTGCTTGACGGCGAAACACCCCGGTAGTCAAGTTGGCCGGACCGGCTGCCGAATTGCATCTGTGCGGGCATTCCAGACGGAACAACGAACGCCGACATTGCACGATCAGCACCACGTTGTGCTGAACAAATAATTTATTGAACCCAAGTTTTACTATGACTTTACAGATCTGATGAACACATGAAAATAAATACCAAATAAATAAACATTCCGTAACCCAAAAGACTGAACATATAACTGAATCGAATACTGTAAGCTTACTTCATCCCAAAATTTCTCTACAAATATCAATTGCGCCGTAAATTAAACGAATGGAAGGAAGTATAACACGAATAAGAAAACGGAAATCCTGTCTACCCAATTTTCATGACAAGTCCTAAGAATAAAGCGCATAATTAACTTAACATCGTTAAATATAGATACTAATTTCTGCTTCAAAAAACGTAATGTACTTATATTTCACATAATATCCTGCCCTTAACAGTATATAAAAATTGACGACATTGTAGTTTATAGCTCCAGGTTAACTGGGTGCATGCCGATTTGTGCTCACCAGATCAATCTCATTGATGGATGATTGTCGATAGCTCTTATAGGTCAATAACATGGCTGAGAAACAGGCAAAACGAAGGACTCGCATAGTGTGCTGATAAACGTGTCAGCTCCCGGAAAGGGTAATAGCGTGTTCGTTCCCCACCGCAGACACCTGCGGTCCGGAGTTTTGCAAATATCTCAGCATTACAATAGTTATATTTCACAAAATACCCTGCCGTTAAAAAGAATAGGCAGTAAATAAAAAGGTTAAGATTACGGTTATAGTTGACATAATAGGCTGCCTTTAAAAAAATAGTAGGCAGTAAACAAAAATTGATGACATAATGTACTTCCTTATACACAACACAACAAATTAGCATTCATGACATTTATGCTTCCGATACATTTTGTACGTATCCTTAACTAGAGACACATGGTGGCCGAAAGCATGTGTATCACGAGACATTCTATATGCTTGGTTGTATAAACTATTGCCTTAGATGTTCCCTCAAGGTTTACTGGTTTTAATGATCATAATTTGGTTTAACACAATATCGCGAAAAACAAAAGTTGGACTAAGTGCTTGAAATTCTCTTCCTCTAACTTGACATAAGTCTCTACAGACTAAGCCTAACGAATTCTACCACACATCGCTTGCAGTTGTTACCACGTATGCGTTCGCAAGGTAAATGGTCTGCGTCAGTGAATTCCCTATTCTTTAGTTTCTGCTCTAAAAACTTCTAAAAGATAGAAGAAGCAGCAGACTTAGTTCCAAACACTTCGAGAGCGACTGATAGCGCGAAATGTGTCACGGAAATTCCACTCCACATAAGCGATCGCCGTTTCTGCTCCGTTTACGGGTCCTTAACCTTGCTGAATGATCATTCATAGTGCATTCTTCTGTTTCCAAAGAAGTAATTTCTTGGTGGCCCTGTCTTAGTATATTTGGGGTTCGATTGCTAAAATACTGCTTATTTTTATCAATGAAATCCAAAGCGGTTTTCTCAGTTCCTGTGAGTCCTCTTGGAAATACTGAAGTGGAAGGTTTTCTTTCCTTAGATTATTTCAGCATCGAATAAGCAGTTCATTTCATCACGAGACAACTACGACGCTGCGTATCTTGACGATTTTCAGCAATTCTTTGTGTTTCCAAAATTGGTTTGCTCCAGACTCTATCAATTTCAACTGTTATTTTCGGACAGGCAACTGCTCCATAATCCTAGCTCTTCCTAGCTATCGAATGGATAGCCAAGCGAGCTATCCCAAGAATTTTAGCATTGCCGTTAACCATTTCACTGAAGTGCAAACGAAATGCGCGTTGAAGCCAAGATGTACGGTCCATGAGGCCTTCAGCGAGGCTTTGTGCATCGATTACCACAGGTTGTCACTCTATTCACCTCGTTCTCCTATTTTCCATGTTTCCCTAACTTCTACGGATCAGATGTGATATTCTCCTTCTGTTCCCATACTCCAAGATCATATTTAACCCTTGCTTATTGTGAAAAAAAAATACTCCTCCACCATTCAATCGTAGTGCTGTTAGCATTTAATGGAGCTGTGTAAATTGTCTAAAGAATATTACGATGCTTACTTTATGGTTTTGACACCTTCCCATTTCAAGCAATACCCATAACTCATCAAAGTTATTGAAAATGAAGTAATGAGTTGCTTGCAAAAAACTATGCTTCACGCAAAGACCGATGCCAGTTGAAATTTTCCAATGATTAGTGCACTTCAGAGTTGGAAACCTTATAGATTCATAGAAAAACTTTGTATTATCGTTCTATCGGTATTAATGTCACCATACCTCTGCTCATTCCATACGATAACTATGATTCGTCGAGCAACTGCAAAGAATAGAGCAATCAATACGCTCTGTGCGAATCAAAACTGAAGATAGTGAATACGAGAATGAGCGAAAAATGGACCATGGTTATGACGACGAGATTACCGGTGCTTGGATGAGCTAGGTACTACTTTGAGATACCACTTATTGTTTGGAAAAAGCCAGTCACGTATTGATGCAAGTATTCTGCATGCATGCATAGATGCCCTAGATTTCTACGAATTATTTATAATTCTATGTGATTTGCTTGCAAAAATGACGAATACTTGTGCCCAATGGAAGAATTCAATTGTATGTGAGAAGCGACAATCGTATCTCAGGAAAAAGAACTAGTAAGTGGTGGTCATACCTTGTTCCTTTGTTGTTCTAGCATATCTAGTTCTACCCATGGTTTATGTAGGTATTCACATTTGTTCCTGCGCGACAAGCAAAGGTTAACATACCTGGGCGATGTGATGGTTGGCTGTCATATGAAGTCAACAAAATATAGTGATCCCAGACTAACTACAATACCTGCTAGGCGTGTCCATACAAAAAGTGATAATTCAAAAGATATTTTTTGCACCTTTCGACATTGGTCCTGCAAAGTGCTATCCACATGCAAGAAACAGGGTTTTTGTGGGTGAACACAGACTGTGTGCCAAACTTGTATATTGAACACGATGGTAGGCAAAAATTATGACTTCGATAATAACAACGGATCGTTGGTAATCACTACGAATCCCATTTAGAAGGTGTGTTCTGTATATTATTATAGGTAAGCATTATAAATTCTATGTAAGAGGCGTTCATTATTTGTAATAAGAAATTTTGTGCGAGAGCCACTTATTTGTTGGTTATCGCAAGGAGAACTGTAGAAGTTGCATACTGCTATAGGACTTTTCCAGTTTTCCAAACTTTCCCAATTAGGGAAATCTACAAGGATAAAAGAATAAAGGACAAAGCTCCCTGCTCTCGTTGATCAATCCCTGGAGGATTGCGCCATGCATTCGACTTCATTAAGCATCGTTGGAGGTGACTGAATGCATATCCGGCCTTTATGACTCGCGGTGGCCCAGCGATATATCGAACCAGTGCCGCTATCCTCCAGACAAGTCTGGTAGCAATTTACCGACCCCATGGGGATAGAAGGCTTGGTGAGCCTTGGGCGTGGGGATCGATCCCATGTGCATTGCAGGGTGCTTCGGACCACTCCGCCACACGCGTTACATTTAAGAGTTAGGAATACGCATTTTCTCTAAAAACGTATTCCACACGTTGATGAATGCGCACTTCATCTATGACAACTCTTGCCACATGCCCTATCCATACTTACTACTTACGTACCATAAACACTTCCATGTAAGCTTCTAGTAGAAGTTGTATGTTGTAAAATAGATGTTTCTGCGTTAAACGACTACAAAATTGGTAATAAGAATGTATAATGAGAATATTGGACAGTATATAAACCTGTTATTCTGATGGGAGGGGCACATTACGCTTCCATGTGAATTCTGTGCGGTCGGTCTTCACGCGACATACTCAGTGGAAGACTCATAGAAAGCGGTGAGTGTGCAGAGCTATGCTAAATGTGAATGAAATCTTGGTTTAGCGTTTTCTCTGTTTGGTTATGGAGGTGTTTGGCCGAGTGGATTGCTGTCAACTTGACCCTTCCAGGCTCTGAGGAAGGCGAAATCCGCCGAAACGTCAGCTTGTGCGTAAATAAAGAAATAAAATAGCACCTCGTGTTTGCTGAACAGAAGTAGAAAGATGTATAGTGAGAGTTGGAAATGTGTTCTTTTCCCAAGGGCGTAGTTTGCCAATTGACGAATGCGCATTTTGAGGGTGCATAGCTCTTCTGTATACTATAAATATGTTTATAGAAATCTCCTCAGTAATACACTATCTATTCGTGAGAATAAAGTGTTCATAACCTCTAAACTTTACTGCGAAAATATCAACAGATCCGCTGTGGAATTTAAGCAGACGAGCTGACTCGTCCGAAAATATGCCGTATAGTTTTCGCTAGAATAGCGCACATAGAACGCCTATCGATGGATTAACTAAATCTGTATCGATTTTCTGGTTAACGACTAACTACAAGAATCCTGACAAAAAACTCTACGCAACGAAATAGCCCAAAGAAAAGCATTTGTATTGAAACCAAGACGTACAGTCTCAAATGTAGAGCAACCTACATATAGAAAGCAATGCGTATGGTCGTCGTGAAATGGTTAAAGGTCCACTTTTCATAAGGAACGAAATATTATACATTGACACGACTAATAGCTTTTAAGAACGAAAAAAAACTAACTGCTAAAAGATGAACGTTAGGAAATATACAGCTTAAGAATAAACTAAAACTACAAAAACACCAGCAACTTACTTGTTCACTATGGTAATGCCATCTCTAATGTTAGGTTCAAGCAAAAAATTTGCGGATCTCACAGTGAACTTCACAAGCGCACTTTGCAACAAATAATCCTTGCTTGCTCTGCTGGTCTATACGATTTTAAAATTTTATTTCTTACTCTTGTAACAGAACTCAACATTTCCAACTTAACAACTGCTCACTATTTAGAAAACAGTATGAAGTTGGAAAAAGCCCCACTAAATGCGTGTCGCATGAAACGAACGAGAAGTAAGGAGATCATCGCGGCGTAGCTCGCTCTACGTTTCATTTAAACAACTCTTGACTCTTGGTCCCATTTCTTGACCGCATTAAGATGTCCGGGAGGAGGTAGATCCTACATGACAACCAA